GGTCTTCAAAACATTTAACCCCTGATTTAATTTTTTTCATGCTCCGGGAAAAAATAAGCCACTGCTACTTTGCTTCGTAAAGTAGCACTTTATCGGTACTTCGTTTCGGTTCCACACCTCCGGTCGCTAAAAAATATTAATTCCAGATTCAACCGTTGTTCGGTGCTCCGGAAAAAATTAAGCCATCGGTACCTCGCTTCGCGGACTCGCTTCGGTTCCAAATCTGGGGTCTTCAAAACATTTAACCCCTGATCAAAATTTTTCCATGCTCCGCAAAAAAAGTAAGCCACCGCTACTTTGCTTCGTAACCCAAAAACCAAACCGTTCTTTAGGCGTAAGGGATAGCTTTGATCCAGAGCAGGGCTTTCTGTCTTTTCTCGCCGTCCGCATCTCAAGCCAGCGAGCAACCCTGTGCACCCAGAGCCTCCCACCCGTCCCACCCACGAACTCTCGGCACCTAGAGCTCCCGTCCACGGCCACGTCCTCCCGCGAACGCTCGCGACAGAGCTCCCCACCCGTCCCCGTCCACGACCACGTCCTCCTGTCCCCGTCCGGCCACATCCTCCCGCGCACACTCGGCACCCAGAGCTCCCCACCCAGAGCTTCCCCCCCATCCCCGTCCACGCACGTCCTCCCGCAAAAGCTCGGCACCCAGACAGAGCTCCCCACCCGTCCCCGTCCACGGCCACGTCCTCCCGCGAACGCTCGGCACCCACAGCTCCCCACCCGTCCCCGTCCGCGGCCCGTCGACACGATGCGGTGGACGCGTTCTCTTCGCTAAACGGCTTTCCCGGTTCACGGCACGTTTTTTTGTGAACGCTCCCCCGCGGGAAGGAAAGACTAAACAAGAACCCAAACCCCCCAGGGGTTTTTGGGAAACAAAGGCAAAAGCAATAGCCTCTCCGAGTGAAACCCCCGAAGCCTTGCGAAACAATTAGATCCAAAGTTAATTCCCCTCGAAGGACCCCAAGTAAACACTTAAATCCACAGTTCATTCCGCTTGAGGGACCCATAAACACTTAAATTAAATCCAGAGTTAACTCCCCTCCAAGAGACCCCAACCCGCAGACAACAATTAAGTCCAGAGTTAATTGTCCGGACAGGGGTGCGGAACAAGACCGACAATGAACTCTAAAGTTAAGTGTCTCCTTCCTATACCCCGACAAAACAATTAAATCCAGAGCTGATTGTCTGGATAGAGCGTTGACGGACCCGAGAAGCCAGAATAATCAACTACAAAGGTTATTTATTCAAACATCTGTTTCCATTGTTTTTCGTTCCCCGAAAGCCGGTGTGGGTCTTGCTTTTGAACCCTTCGGGCACGTTCGGCAGTGTCCGGGCTTGTTCAGCTTGTCCTTGGGATCCATACGGTAAGGTCTTCCTACGGTGGTCCTGTCCGACCCTCTGCCCGAGGCCTCCTTCTCGCCCCTCTGGCATGTCGTTTTAGCAAAAATTTGGCGTGGATTCGGTAGAGGCAACAGCATCGGGTGTTCTGTTGCGCAAAATGTCATGCAAGCGGTGCCGAATGGCCTCGTGCATGTCTCAGAATGCATACTTGCAGCATTGCACATGTAATTAACTACAATCGGAATTTATTGGCGCTAGCTCAGTGCAGAATTCAACTGAGCCGGAGACACTCGGAAGAACACCACAGCTGGAAACTGCGTTGGACAACCAGGTTGCAGCACTTCCAACCATCTCGACCAACGTCTCGGAATTTACTGTACAAGCAAACTCGCCGACATCATTGCGCGGCTCAGGGCAAGTATGAACAATAGATTCAATGTCAATCCCGGTGCCACCGATGCTGTCAATCGTCTCCACGGCATTGAACACGCAGAAGGCTTGACGGAAGTTCTCTTGTTGCTTCAAATCTGGGTCTCTGATGCCCACATAGGAGTTTACGTTCGTCCTGGCATGTGCATCCAAGACCTTGGCATTCTTGTAGAGCTCCAGATTCTGAAAGTGGAAGTACGGATTGGGAGTCGCGAGGGAGCGAGCATCCGGCGGGAGCGTGGCGAGCTTGTGATGTTTGCTTTCTGTCTTGGCCGCCTCCAACGCCCTAGCAACCATCTCGTCCGCCTCCGCTCTCGACTTGACCTGGCAATGAAACGTGTGAGGCGGGGAACCCGGAAACCTTGCTCAAGGCCGAGGCACCTCACGGAGCTTTTTCGCTGCCGACTCGATCTGGCCCTCTTCAGACAGCTGGAGCGGAGACGCCTCAGGCGAGCTCCGAAAAGCTTCGCTCCTCGAGGCACGGAGCCGCACCTGGAAGAGCGTGTGAACCGGGATCTGGCACGGGTCGGCCATGAAGAGCACCGTGGCACCGAGGGCCAAAGCCCCCATCGAAATCCCAGCAACCTGCTGCAACGAAATCCGGGAAGGTTTAGTCTAGCCAGGTCTAGCAAGAGTGCGTTCGCAATTGCCAATGCATAGCAGGCTGTGAACCTTCCACCGGCAGAGACGCACCGTCTGAACTGCCGGCTGGGTGGTCAGCTCCTCTCCCATCAGCGCCTCCTCTGCATCCTCAGCTCAGATGCTGCTGCCGTTTGCTCTACATGGCAAAGGCTGAAGCAACTCTTCGTCCCGCGTCCTCTGCCAGAACAACCATGGCGGCATCGCGCGCGCTGGCCTCGGCTTGCGCGCGGTGAACAGGTAGAACATCTGGGACACAAAGAGCAGTGCACGCAACGAGCAGCAAAGCATGACTTGACAGTGCTCTGATTGCAGTTGCTGGACTCCGGCATCGGTGGGTATCTGACCATATTCCATAGCTGGCAAAAACCGTCGACCTACGAGATCCAGCAGACGTCCAACTGACGTGTTTGAGCCAGTTCTGCCGATGTATCGGTTACACGGATCGCACGGAGCATTGCGCTCTACACATACGACAGGCAAAGCACATCGCAAGCAGTCAGCCGCCGCCTTGTCGACCACCGCACTCAGGTTCTGCCAGTGCAGGGATTTGTTTCTGCATGTTGCAACGTCTCGTCAGATGCACCCCGTCCTGCTGGTACAGCGCTCGCGAGACTGCCTGAACTCGCTTTGTCGCATCCTTGTCCGAAACCTTCAGCACCTTGTAACAAGGTGCGCCAAAGACCGAAACTCGCAACAAAAAATCTCCTAAAACAATCAGCAAGCGTCTGGTCGCCTGACAAAGCCTTCCCATTTCATAGCGCGATGCCTCCTGGCCAAGGTTCGCAGCGAAAGTTGAGTCGATAGGTGTCACATCTTGGTCTGCAACTTGCTGTAAACACGCAGAACAATTTTCTCAGAACATACAATTCAATAGTACTTCAGCACAGCACCTTCCGTGCGAGACACCTGCTTGCATCTGTCCAGGCAGCAGGACAACGCTGCAATCCGAGCAGAGACAGAGCAAAAAACATCTTCCGTCAAACACCCAAACTCCAGCCCGAACAGGAAAGCCCGTCCTCTGGTTCCTCATCTGCAAAAGCTCGCTGTGAAAGGAAAAGAAGCTTGTCCATAGCAATGCGCATGGGCTCACCCTGTGCGATGCCGGGTCGGTGGTGTTTGGTTAGGAAGATGCTTGGACCTGCCTCTAGTCCCGAATACCCTTTCGAGACCAGCAGCTGGGCAGCATGCCTGGATGAACACGAAAAGTGCAGCATTTCTTAGTCTGCTTGCTGGCGTGTAGCTCGGGCCTGTGGGCATTCCCAACCACTATGCCATCCAGATCAAGCACGGCCTCGACGCTGCAAGAAGCGGATGCAATGCACGAAGAGCGACAAAAGGGTTCGACGGTTCGACGACGTTGAGGTGAAGCGTCTAAAGAAGCAGCACTCAGGCCACAACCTTCAGTCTCTGCAGCGTTGGCAAGTCGTGCGGATCATGCTCAGGGCCATCCAGAAGGCTCACCAGCAACTCCTCTGCTAGTGACAGACACAACATGTCCAAAGTCTGTCCCTTTTTCCAACCCAAGCCTCGTATATCTTCTGCAAGGAGCTATCCTCCCAGCCTTCACCTTTGAGATCGCTGTAAACAGTAAACAGCTTGCCAAGCGAACCCCACCGGCTCTCTTCTTGCAACTTCTCCGTCTATGAGCTGGACTGGAGCGATCATTGGCCGCAACCCCAAATCGCCTGATCAACGGTGGGGTGACGAATACCAAGACCTCAAGTGCTTCATTCAAGGGAAGATTCAGTTGCATAGCCTGCGCTGCCGATGGATGAGGCTTCGCAGCTCTTCGGTTGGCATGTCCTGCAATTGCACAGAAATCCTGCTAAACGAAATTACACACAGCGAATGAAAACACCATTTCTCGAAAGGGTCAAAGGCTGCAACAAGAACATTGTGACTGCTTGCCATGTTCACACACAGGGCCTCTTGGATATGGGTTGAAAGGAGTCGAGCTATAGCGCAGCTCGCAGCGTCCTGCGGGAGCAAAGGCAGACGATGGATATTCGACGAGCGAAGGCGCCAGAGATGCGAGGGGAATGTGGCCTTCTTTCCTTGCTTCAAGAAGGCTCCAACAAGAGTGCCTCCGACCAGCAGAGCTCAGCACGTGCCAAGCGATTCACAGCCACAAGCCTAAGAGGCAGCCCAGCGCACTTGCCAGGCCCTGAGCAAGCCGTGTGTGCCTGCGGCGCGAAGCGGTGGCAGGAAAGCTGTGAAAATCTGATCTCCTCTGGCCCTGTGCCTTGGGCAAACAGCGGCAGCCAGAGCGGCCAGCAACGGCAGTGCCGTGTACACGCTGAGGATCTCAGCGCTTCACAAGGATTCTCAGATCCCCTGCTTTCACAGCTCTCGGGGCCGCACCGGCATGGGCACAGCGGAAGGAAGATTGGCCAGCACACGCCCGGCCAAGTTGGACCTGGACATGCTTGCCAGAATTGCTGCCCAACTTACTTCCCGCAACAGCAATCTGTCAAGGACAGACAAGTCGATTCTGCTTCCTTTCGGAAGGGATGCACTGTTTCCTGACAAAATGAAACCTTGGGTACTCCAGCGGCAAGGGACGACCGTGAACGAAAGTAGCCGGCAGTGACGCTTCCCATTCTCTGTACCAGATGAGTTGGAAAAGGCTGCTGGAACCGCCGATGGGGCTTCGTGGTTGTGATCCTTTGGGACCATGCTGATATCTGCGCGCCCCATCGCAAAGAGCCGGTCAGAAAGCGAACCAGCTAGCCTTGATTTCAACCATCTCGACTTTCCACTGTGCACAAAGGGCTCTTTCGATGACGTGCAAGGCACAAACCAACTGAACCCTCACGATTACTCTCCTTTCGGACTTTCGCTTAAGGCTTAGATTTTCTACTTTTGGTTGGCACGCCTTGGCCACCTCGCGGAAACAAAGAATTGATTTCTGATGCAGCCATGTGCACTCTTTGGCTTGTGCGTTGTGCAATTGTTGAGATTCAATCAATCTTCTTCGCTAGCGGCAGCAGTGGATCTCACAACAAGTCGATATGCGCCTCAAACATTCGAGCTTGCGTCTGGTGCGCGTTGTTACCGACAAGCTTCCAGTGCGCATGAGCGAGTGAACTCGGCATCAAACGCGGATGGCTCGGGGACATTCGGGGACTGAACTTGCCGCAGCCTGACCCTCTCCCTCTGTTCTTCCCAGACCCTTCTCCTCCCTGCCGGGAGGCCGAGGAGAAATCAATCAACTGGATCAAGATATGCATCACTCAAGCGCTTTCAGCTTGCTGCTGAAGCTGAATCGGACAGAAAAAAAGGAGGAAAGGTCAAGCGAAGGCTCGTTTTTTTTAATTGCAAAAGAACAACACACTCGAAAGCTGAACCAGGGAGTGTGTAGCAGGCACAAGATGAGTCGCACATCTGACTTGCTGCTTACGGCCAACCCCCCACCGAATGGAGATGTTGAGGTACAGTGACGGCAGGCTGGAAGTGCTTGTGGCAGGAAGAACACAAGCTGTCTCTTTCTCGCTCCTAACAACATTCTCACGGGAACCAACTGCAGATTCACAACCAAGGCAGCCTCTGGAATAGATCTTCAAAAAGGCCTGCAGCGTCCAGAGTCTTCGGCGCCTGGCACGAAACTGTCGACGTAGCAACGAAACACCGCTGCACCAAACAATGCACAAACATCTGACACAAGCAGCGAAGAGATTTGCTTGGCCCTTTTGGCTTCGGCTTTACATCACAGAACAGTCTCCAGTGGGTTGTGTATTTGGTGTGCAACCATAGTGCCACGGCTGCCAGGGCTTGCCACAGACCCAGCACCAGTGCATAGAACACTGCGTGCAGGTCATATGGTTGCAGCCCATCGTGCGTAAGGTGCGAACTCCACAACCCGGGCATGCTTTCGCCCCGGCCCAATGACGGTCCTTTGACCGCTGGGCCTCTGGCAATGCTGCATCGAACTCCAAGCAGGACTTCCCCTCGTGGGTCCTTCCATGCATCTCCCACGCCTCACCGGCACAACATGATTCTCAGGAACCTCGCATGCAGAAACATAACCACAATCTAACCCGATCTCCTTAACTATTCACACCAAAAGCCCTCGGCGCCTGGGAGCACAGAATGCAGTAGTCGATCTTGCAGCTTGGGCAGCTTACGCGGCGTCCGTCGCGGCCGTCTTCTGTCGGCGGCGCATACAGGCCCACATGGCGACCAAGTGACCAAGCACGCGGATCCCAACGGCTGCCAGGTTCCTGCAAAGGATCCGAAACACCGCAACACGAGCAAGCTCCAAAATTGCCAAAGCAAACGGTCAAAACTGCTTTAAAGAAGCTTCAGCCTGTGCCGACTTGGAGCGTCTCAGAGCCTTCGGAAGGACCCACATGTGATTGCATTCGCTCCCGGGGCAATGAATAACATCTTCCATTCGCGCCGCGCAGCTCGATGCCAGGCCGCTTGAAAGGCACCAGCGCTCGTAAGCCCTCTTTTTGCGTCGAGTCTGGCGTCCAAGCACATCCAAACCTTTCCAAGACCACTGACGTCTCCGCAGCGAGGCAATCACGAGAACGTCTGGCAACACAGTACTTCTACTGCACAGCATCGGACAGCTCATCTGAGGACGTGCGTCGTCGATGACACTCTCCGCGTGGCTCCAGACACATTCCCAGCAGATGGACTTCTTGCAGCACGGAAGCTTGGCCAAACACCAAGGGTTGTCCTCCAGAGAGTTGGCACAAATCGGACAGTCGACGTTCTGTACATTCGCAACATCGAAGCCCAAGAATGAAAGAAGTTGCCTTGACCAAATCCACTGTTGCCAGAAGTCAAGCCACTCCTGACGAAGCGCTGAGCTCTTCAGCAAACGATTTGTGTATAGAATGAGACCTAGTGCTGTAAGGTGCGGCATCGCCGCTTGAATCATCCGACCAGAACAGAGGAATAACGAGACAGCAAGAGACGTGAAAGCTCTGCTGATCGCCAGTAAGCCCCGGCAAAACAGCACCCCAGCGGTGACGCCACTCAGCAGTGCCGCACATAGGGCAGCAAGTTGATGAAGCTGAGTCTGGCCCCGTCGTCCGTTTGCTTCAGCCATGCGCCCGAGCTGATCAAATTGATCGACCATGTGAAGTAGATGAAGTCTTCCCAAAGCCAGAAAGTGCTCCGTGACATGTGCCATGTACACCGGCCAGGGCATATCCATGGCTTGACGACGTCTGGGTGAGACTG